ATATACATTATACAATATATACATTATACAAAATATACATTATACAAAATATACATTATACAATATATACATTATACAATATATACAAAGCTTTGTCATTCAAAAACTCTTACTTTATACAGTAATGCAATTGATTTTGGTCTTTTAATTCTTAAGTATTTTACATGAGATTTCCATGTCAGCGTCTCATCAATAACAACAACCAAACATTTTATTTCATTACCTCTATGGATTTCAGTAGTCAATTTTAAATGGGACTTAGATAATTTGATTTATATTAATAAATATCGTTTACTAAAAGTTTGTTTTTTCTAAATTTAACGATCACTTATTGAGTTGGAAGTGTGTATTTTTATGAATTCTGCTGCATCGTCTCCAACAGTGGCTGGACTTTAACACAACATGCAACAAAAAACAAGTTATTATTGGATGCACATCCACAACTATTGGAGTCAACCCGTGGCTTCTACAGCCAGCTGACCTACAGAAACACAACAGCTGTCTTGCAGATGTTGTGTTTGATCTGATGGTGAGAGTCAGAGCGACATCTCGCGATAACTCGTGGGAACGAACAGGATTTTAATACGGGACTAAACATCTCGTCATCCTCAGAAGATGATTTAATCTGAACGTGAGGGGTGATATGCATTCCTTCAAAAGAGGCCACACTCTTATTTCTTATATTTTTATAATAAAAGTAAAATGTACAAAAAGACTCTTCTTAAAGCAGCAACGGTAGGAGGAGAACTACACTAAAGACAATTATTAACTAAAACAAGTTAGGTTGAACTTCCTGGTTGTGTTTATACACCATTCCGAGCATTTCTAATAAAATCAAGCTTAAATGTTATCTTTAATTCTAACAGTTACGAGTACCAAAATGTTTTGAGCTAACCAAACAGTTGTGTAAGTAAAACTGAAGAGGTAAACTGACCTGAGTGTGTCCTCTGAGTGTGTGAGTTGTTCTCACAAAGTTCAGAACAAAAGTCAACTTCTCAGTTTAACACGGCCATGAAGTTGGCTTCTGATTCCAGCTTTGTTAAAGGGCTATTTCACCACTTTTTTTTTTAGCGTGTGGTTCATCTTTAATCAGCTCTAGTTTTTAAAAAAAAACTGCATCATTTCGTGTTCAAACCTGAGTTAAGTATTTATATATTACAAGCAGAATCAATAAAATGTTGTTTGTGAAAAGTCAAGACTGATTTAGTGATTTCTTGAAAACATTGAAGCTGGCTTAGTTCAGTACTTTCACTGTTAAACTCAGGACTAAACTATTTTAACCTAAAAACAAAATATATAAAGTACTTTGTAGCATATTTTTAGTTTGTTAAAGTTGAAGAAAAAGCAATTAAGCAACATTCGATCTGGTCCAGTTCAAAAACTAAAATATTCAAACATCTGACCGTTCCCTTTTTATTAATTTTAGTAATATTAATATTTTATGTTCTGTAGTTCTGAACTTGACTAGGTCTAATGATGTTCAAATGTAAAAATAATAATAATAAAAAGAAGTAAGCTTTTTAATTTTAACAAATGAAAGTAAAAAGTCACAAACTGCATTTTTATTGATTCTGATTTTATTACAGAATAATATATTCCCAGTTTTTAACCATTTAAATATTGTATTTTTAAAATTAGAATTTATTAAAGCTGCTCCTCACATTTGGTGAGATGGTCCTTTATCAAACACGAAGCCAACTTCAGGGTTGTTTTCAGCTCAGCTGTTTGTTTCAGAATAAAAGACTCAGGACTTATGTAAGAGAAGCCACTTCACCAGTCATAAACAGTCTCGTGGCTGTTAGTTTAGTTTCAGTGGATAAAAAAATAAAATGTAGCTGTAATTAAAAAAAAAGTACAATAAAATAAAAAAAATCAATTCATGTCAGGTCATTGTAAACCTTAAGTTTTTTTTTTTTTTTTAGCTCAGATGAACAACATTAAACTTAAAAAAGACTATACTTTAAAAACCTATAAAACCATCTTTGCAGCATTGACTTGAATAATATTTATGACACAATAAGTCAATTATGCTCTTAAAAAATTTGGATCCGCTTTTATTTTAAAACATATTTCTTCACCACCTTCGTTCTGATGTTTTAGTCAAGTGCAAGTCTGGACTTTGGATGTTAGCATGGCAGCACCTTGATTGTTGTCATGATTATTACTGTCCCATTACAGGAAGCAAAGCTGAAGCTTTGGCTGCTGAACAATCACATTTTATGCTGTGAAACTTTATTGTACAGAGGAGGCTAGAGTCAAGCAAAGACCCATATATCTGACTGAAAACAAGCCCAGATCATTACCCCCCACCACCATGTAATAGATGTTAGGATAAAAAAAAATCATCAGTTTTTGCATCAGATTAAAGATTAAATGACAGCTGATCAATTGCTTGAATATTTTGTTGTGGATGAGTACCTAATATCAGCTTTCTAATTTGTTGTTTAAATGCCCGTTCTGGATTCCAGTATTTGACGCTAAACTTCTAAAGTTCAGTACGAAAGCGCAGAGTAGAATTCTTCATTTTCTGCTTGTAGTCTTCATCAAAACGTTTGTTCTGGGCCACAGTGAAATGGTTCTTCCAGTCAGCCACTTGTCCTAAATAGAATCATCAGGTTAAATTGATGGTTGATAAAGTAGGTTTAGATACAAACTGTGACAAGTAGGATTTTCACAGACCTTTTCTCATAAAAGGAAACACATCCTGGTTCATTTCTTGGATCGTGGAGAAGTTGACCATTTTGTCTTGTTTCATGTTGTCAAACATCACTGTAGCTCTGACTTTTTCCTTTTCTTCAGCTGAGGGAGATAATCCCAGGAAGGAGCAGAGTTGGTCTATTTCTCGTCCAGTGTTCTGCTCACATGTGAAAACAATTGAAGAATGCAGAACATCTTAGTGTCTTCTGTGGAAGAGGAACTCCATTTGATATGAACCCTCACAAAGCTCTGAATAGCTAAGAGGTCTGTGAGGAAAAGGGTGATGGAAAAACACTTTCAAGGCTTAGCTCACTGCACCTCAGACAAATCTTCATAAAACATGTAGTGAAGTTTGGAATAAGCCTGCTTCTTCTCCCACCAGCCGTTTACATGTTTGTACCATGATCCGAACACCACTGAAATAGCAGAACACCACACTTCAGAACACACACACAAAATATCAGCTGATTGTTGTCATCACTCTTTGTTCTAAAAAAGTTACATCTGGTCCTCTGGACATTCAAAAAACAAAACAAAACAAAAAAAATTGTAGAAACGTTTCGTCTTTCATCCAAAAGACTTTGTCAGTCAGAAGTCTTTTGGATGAAAGACGAAATGTTTCTACAATTTTTTTTTTTTGAATGTCCAGAGGACCAGAAGTAACTTTTTTAGATTTTTCTACCTGGATTATTGAGCATGCATCAGGATATCACTCTTTCTTAAAACCAGGTCTGTCTTGTAAATGAGTCCCCGAGGCTCAGTGGGACAAACCTGTATAAATAAAGGTTGAATTAACGATTAAAGTCCCGAAGGAATGCATGTTGCCCTCTGCCGTTCATGTCAGGGTTTTAAACTAAGATCATCTCATGGTGAGAAGGAACAGCTTTGTGACTGCTTTGGTCAAATCACGTGAATGATGGTATGTAGAAACCGGATTCCAAAAAAGTTGGGACACTAAACAAATTGTGAATAAAAACTGAATGCAATGATGTGGAGATGGCAAATGTCAATATTTTATTCGTAATATAACGTAGATGACAGATCAAAAGTTTAATGTGAGTAAATGTAACATTTTAAAGGAAAAATATGTTGATTCAAAATTTCACAGTGTCAACAAATCCCAAAAAAGTTGGGACAAGTAGCAATAAGTGTCTGGAAAAAGAAAATTGAGCATATAACGAACAGCTGGAAGACCAATTAACACTAATTAGGTCAATTGACAACATGATTGGGTATAAAAAGAGCTTCTCAGAGTGTCAGTGTCTCTCAGAAGCCGAGATGGTAAGAGGATCACCAATTCCACCATTGTTGCACAGAAAGATAGTGCAATACCAGAATGGTGTTACCCAGCGTAAAATAGCAAAGACTTTTAAGTTATCATCGTCAACCGTGCATAACATCATCAAAAGATTCAGAGAATCTGGAACAATCGCTGTGCGTAAGAGTCAAGGCCGTAAAACTCTACTGGATGCTCGTGATCTCCGGGCCCTTAAACGTCACTGCACCTCAAACAGGAATGCCACTGTCAAGAAAATAACAGAATGGGCTCAGGAATACTTCCAGAAAGCATTGTCAGTGAACACAATCCATCGTGCCATCCGCCGTTGCCAGCTGAAACTCTACAGTGCAACGAGGAAGCCTTTTCTAAGCAAGCTCCACAAGCTCAGACGTTTGCACTGGGCCAGGGGTCATTTAAAATAGAGTGTGGCAAAATGGAAGACTGTTCTGTGGTCAGATGAGTCACAATTTGAAGTTCTTTATGGAACACTGGGACGCCATGTCATCCGGACCAGAGAGGACAAGGATAGCCCAAGTTGTTATCAACGCTCCATTCAGAAGCCTGCATCACTGATGGTATGAGGTTGCATGAGCGCTTGTGGCATGGGCAGCTTGCATGTCTGGAAAGGCACCATTAATGCAGAGAACTATGTTCAGGTTCTAGAACAACATATGCTCCCATCTAGACGTCATCTCTTTCAGGGAAGACCCTGCATTTTTCAACACGATAATGCCAGACTACATTCTGCAGCAATCACAACATCATGGCTACGTAGGAGAAGGATCCGGGTACTGAAATGGCCAGCCTGCAGTCCAGATCTTTCACCTATAGAGCACATTTGGCGCTTCACAAAGAGGAAGGTGCAACAAAGAAGGCCCAAGACGATTGAACAGTTAAAGGCCTGTATTAGACATGAATGGGAGAGCATTCCTATTTCTAAACTTGAGAAACTGGTATCCTCTGTCCCCAGACGTCTGTTGAGTGTTGTAAGAAGAAGGGGGGATGCCACACAGTGGTAAAAATGGACTTGTCCCAACTTTTTTGGGATTTGTTGACGCCATGAAATTTGGAAACAACAGATTTTTCCCTTAAAATGATACATTCTCTCAGTTTAAACTTTTGATCTGTGATTTGTGTTCTATTCTGAATAAAATATTAGATGTTGGCACCTCCACATCATTGCATTCAGTTTTTATTCACAATTTGTTTAGTGTCCCAACTTTTTTGGAATCCGGTTTGTACATTAGTTGTAGATGGTATGTACATTAGTTGTAGATGGTGTGTGTATTAATTGTAGATGGTATGTACATTAAGTTTAGATGGTATGTACATTAATTGTAGATGGTGTGTACATTAATTGTAGATGGTATGTACATTAAGTTTAGATGGTATGTACATTAATTGTAGATGGTATGTACATTAGTTGTAGATGGTGTGTGTATTAATTGTAGATGGTATGTACATTAAGTTTAGATGGTATGTACATTAATTGTAGATGGTATGTACATTAATTGTAGATGGTATGTACATTAGTTGTAGATGTTATGT